ATACTCTTCCTGCTCTTATAAATAAATTACTTTTAAAAATGGCATGAGACATTAAATGAGTTAAGCATAGATAAAAAAGTTTATTTACAGCAAGAATTAATAGAAGTCTTATTTGATTTATAGTTCTAAGAGCAATAATTTTTTTAATATCTTTTTCTTTTCAAGCTGAGAGTGAACTAATGAAGAGGCTGGCTGCTAGCAGCCATATGGCTGCGCCGACCCCTATCTCCTCATTAGTTCACTCCAGAACCCGTAACGTAAGGATTACTCCTGCACATACTAGGGTTCTGGAGTGAACTAATGAGGAGATAGGGGTCGGCGCAGCCATGGCTGCTAGCAGCCAGCCTCTTCAGGGCAGTTGTGCAGATTTAATAAAAGCTGCTAGTAGAGTTGTGTTAAATGCTATAATAAGAATAGGATTTAGAGCAGTAGATATATTAGAGATTATATCAATATTGTTGGGTCTTAAGAAAAATATAGATAAAATAATTATTACATCTCCAATTCGATTAATTCTTAGGGTTATGGTAGCTTTTATTATTGAAGAATGATTTTGGTAAAATATAATTAGAAGAAAAGAGGTAAGACCTAAACCATCTCACCCCAAGATGAGGATAACTATTCTTGGGGTGATTACTATAAAAATTATAGAGACAATAAATAGGTTAAATATTATATAATAAAAAAGTTTATTTACATCTTCTAGTATGTAATAAAATCTATATACTAATACATTTAATGAGATTAATGTAAGAATAAAGATAAAGGATACAGAGAAAGGGTCGAATAAAAAATCAAATTCAAATCTTATATTTTTTAGTATAATTAAATTATACGATAATTTTGTTGACAGTCTAGTTATAATGTTGATTTGTATAGTTATAAATATAAATATTATAACTATACAAACCAACAATTTATTCTTGAATACCCCCCTTTTTATTTTTTTATTATTCATTGTGAGTTGATATTTATATAAAAATATCTTTATTAAAGTCACAGTTTAAATTTAACTCACAAATAATATAGTCAGCCCCCTGCCATATGATTAAGGATATGAATAAAAAAATAAAAAGGGGGGTAAAAGATCTCTGTAAAAAGGATGAAGACACATCTGTCCATTTTACCCCTATAGAAATTCGGGTAAAAATAAAACTAGAAATTAAAATTAAGATAATTGTATTAAGAATAATAGGATACATAAAAAAATAAGAAAAATTTATTAAATTATAAATAATAATAATTTCTGGGAATAGATTAAAGGACGGCGGGCACCCAATGTTGAATATTAAAATTATAAATAGAATTAATGTGATATATAAAGATTTTATATTTATTTGAGATTTAACTAAAATTATATTACGGGTAGATATTTTATTATATATTAAATAGAAAATAAGGAATATGGATGGTCTGATAAATCCGTGGGATATACTTATTGAGATGGACCCCTCTAGTGAAATGAAAGATATTAGAAGTATTCTAAGGGCAAGAAAAGTTATATGAGATACACTAGAGTAAGCAATTATGATTTTTCCGTCATTGCTAAATGATATCCCGATTCTAGATATAATTATTCCTCATAGAAGCGTCGACATCAGGATCCATACTACTAGCGGGGTCCCTATTAAAATTAGGAGTATTCGGCTCATGAGCCTTAGGGAGTCAGAGATGAAAAATGTAAATAGGTAATTTTACTAAAAATGCCAGAATAATAAGGAATATTGTCCCTGAACCTCAACCTCTCAAATTATCAGATATCCCTAATTCAAGAACGCCGCTGCTTTTACTTTTATTGTCCCTGAACCTCAACCTCAAATTATCATCATGATCGGAATTAGGGATATCTCAAAAAAAATAAAAAATAAAAATTTTTATTAATTAGAGATACTAGAAGTATAACTATAGTTATACCTAGGATAATTTTTATAATTAGAAGTTTAAATATCTCAGATTCTAAGGATAAAATGAAAATAATAACTACGATAGAAATACTAATAAATATTAAAGTAAATAAAATATTTAATGAATCTAAATTTATTATCGTGTTGGACCATAAGTTTATGTTTGACAAAGAGCCAAAGTTTAATGACATGGATATTACTAGTAATATCCCTGTTATTATTGTTAAAATAGGTAAGTGTGACAGAAATCCGATAAATGGGGTTATTAAGAGGAGGGATACTATCATTTATAGTGTCTTCATCCTTTCTATAGTATACTATAGAAAGGATGAAGACACTATGAAAAAAGTGGAACTTTTTGATAAGTTAATAAGTATAGTAAGAGATATGGTAGCCTCGATAATTATTATAATTAAAATAAATAAAAGAAAAATAATAGATAAAGAAGTTCCTATATAGTTATTAAATACTATTAAAATACCTATAATTGATAATATTTCTATAAATAGAAGTATTTTAATAACTAAAGGGAAGCTTATTAAAATTTTAATTATGATTAGTCCTGTGATTAATCTAATTATGTACGAAGTATATCATTGAATAGAATAATATAGAAAATTTTCTATAGATATTAATTAGCAATTTATAGGATAATTATTCTAATATTATTCTTTTAGGGAGAGTAATCACATCTTAAGTAACAATTAAGTATTCTGATTTTAAATTACCTAAAACTAAGGACATGTTAAATGTTGTCTATAAAAGAGTTGAAATCTTAGATCTTAGAATTTTGGAGTATTAGAAATTTTTCTAAAACAATACATGCAAAGTATTATAGGATACCCCAGTTTTTAACAATATGTTTACTTGTATCAATTAATATTGTTATAAATTCACTCCATAGTGATACCTACAGTTAATACTAAAAGTATTAAAACTGAAAAATTGATCTCATTAAAAGATTTTATTAGGGGTAATAATACGATGATGGCGATCTCAAGATCAAAAATAATAAATAAAATTGTAATGTATATAAATTTTAAGGAGTAAGGTATTCGGGATATACCAAAAGTGTCAATTCCGCACTCAAAAGATGATCTAAAGGAGTTAATTTTTAATTTCGTGGGTGTAAATAAAATTTTATATAAATTGAGCAGAAAGTAAGAGATTAGTAAGGATAAAGAAATTAAAATAGTAGAATGAAGCATCGTAGTATACTATTTTAATTTCTTTCTAATTGGAAATTAGATGTACTTAATTTATACTAAAATAGTAGTTAGGTGCATAAAACTTTACGCGCATTGGCAGGGGTAGTTAATCCCCCCATCAGTACAAACACAAGTATAAAAATAGTCACACAACATCAACAAAATATCAATATCAGGCTGCTAATTCAAAATGAAGCATACTAGTATTGAGATTAACCCAATTATGATTCGAGGGGTTACGGATATAAGAAAAAGGGATCCGATAATAATATGAAACCCGTGAAATCCTGTTGCCACGAAAAAAACTCTCCCAAAGCAAGAGTCATTAATTGAAAAAGATGATTGGAAATACTCCTCAACTTGAAGATATGTAAAGTATAAACCTAAAATTACTGTGATGGCAGTGAGATATAACACTGAGCTAGATTTTTTTACTGCAAAAAATGAGTGATGAGCTCAAGTGATTGAAATTCCTCTTATTAATAAAATAATAGTATTTAACAGCGAGGTCTCAAAAAAGGGGATAGGTATTACTCCTATAGGAGGCCAGTTATTTCCGATCTCTGAATCAGGGCAAAGTCTAAAGTGAAAGTAGGCCCAAAAAAAAGAGGCAAAGAATATAATCTCTGAGACAATAAATAAAATAAAAGAGAATCCTAAACTTTTAGAAATCGTTGATAATATTTCCCCCGATATAGAGGACTCACGTTGTAGGTCCTTTCCCCATATATAAAAAGTTATTGTTATAGTTACAACTGCAAATATGACAAAAATAATATTATTAGAAGTTTTTCATATTACACCCAATAAAGCTGCTATTGCTCCTAGTGCCGAGAGTGAGCCTAGTAATGGCCAAAATGAGGGGTTAATAATATATAAAGGATTTTTTATCATGAGATTATATATTTAGGAATTAGAAGATTCTCTAATATATAATGAAATAAGGGATATATACACGTATGCTTGAATAAAGGATACTATTAATTCTAATAGATTTAATAGGACTCTAGGGATTAATATTATAAAAGGTTTTATGGAGAATATTCTTATACATAAATGTATAAGAATGTGTCCTCTTGTAATATTAGCAGACAGACGTAAGGACAAAGTTAGAGGGCGGATTAATAAAGAAATAAGTTCAATCAGGAATAGAAAGGGAGACAAAAAAATTGGGGATCCTAAAGGAATTAAAGATCATAAAGATATATTTTTAAAGAAAAAACTAATTGAAATCGTAAAAAGAGAAATTGATAGTATAAAAATGTTTAAAGTTCTTGAAGTAATAGAAAAGGTGTATGGAAAAAGTCTAAGAATATTATGGGACAAAACAAATGAGAAAATACATATAGAAATTGACACTGTAATTCTACCTACCGAGAAGGGTTTAACTCTGTTATTTCAATTTATTTTTAACATCAAATTTATATTAATTAATTTTCGAATATTCTATATTTTTTTTATATATAATATCTATAAATAATATTTTACTAATTTATTACAGTTATTATGATTTTTTTTTTCCGTAATCGTTTAATAATTATACTAATTAAATATTTTTCATTTTATAAATTATACAATTATAAAAGTACAAGATATAAATAAATATACCTAACTTAAAAAAAAAATTAATTAAATTCAAAATTTTTCACTTGAAAATTATGTATGAGTATTTATGTGGAATATAAAATAAAAATATTAATAAATATGCCATTTAACAAAAATTATTTAATTTAATAAACTAATATATAAATATTTTTATATAATGACCTATTTATTAAATATTAAATGGACTAATTTTCTTTTCTTTTATATTAATGTTTTATAATAAAATAATTTAATTAATTTTTATCTGTCAATTATCACTTTATCTGTCAGTTCACACTTTATATGTCAGTTTACACTTTATCGGACAATTCTTAGTTTATTTACACCTTTACGACTTTAGATGGGATGGAAGAGATCAATTCACCAAATATTCCTGCAGCATTAAACGATCCCCTCTTAGGGAAGAGGAGTGACATTTTTAGCAAGAGATATGGGGAGTATTTTGAAAATAATCCTTATATTCCTACTAAGGACAATATAACAAAAGAAGATTTTACTGAATATTTAAAATTAATAAATAAAGTGAAATATTTTATTTATAATAGATTATATATATTGATTCAAAAGATAAACGGGTTTAAATGTTCGCACATCAATGAATTTTCTAATTTAAAATTGGAAAAAAATAGTAATACTCAATAATTTTTTTGACAATAATTATTACACTATTTATTGTGGATAGGGAAATTATATTAAATTTTGAATGTTCTTTGAAATTTATTTGATAATAAATTTTATTTATTAATAATTTAATGTTAGGCCTAATTATCAGTTTTTTTTTATGTTAAGTATATTCCTTTGAATTATATAAATTAGGATCTCCAGATGAAATCTCTTACATGGAGGCTGATATGCCAGATTATTTTTACAAGCCCAATTTTTCTTTCCTTAATCCTGTTGTCCATAAATTATTAATACCTAGTAGTACACAAAGGTTGAATGATTGGTTAGGACCAGCAAATGCAAGTCACGAGAAGGTGCACTAACCAAATATTTGTTCCATATATTTAAACTATTAAAAGGGATTTTATAATAAAATTATATAGCTAACCAATTTTGGTAGCTAGTGGGAACAGGTGGGCTAAGAGGAATGGTTAACCCCTACCATCTATCCAAAATGCAAATTATTTATAAAATATTTTATGAAAGGTAAGAGACAATATTGAGCAACTCACAAGATATATATATGTGATTGTTGAGGTAAAATTTAACTCTTGTTTTGAGATTAGCAAGCCTTGCACCAAGGTAAAAAATTAAAATTGGCTAAGCTCGATGTTTTTTTTACAAAAATAATATATTTGTGATATTTTTTTTTCTCACCGCAAATTTATATTATATGAAGTGCTGGGAAATGGCACATGAGTTAATTCTAAAAAAAATGCCTAGTTCAATATTTTAGCAGGAAAAATATTGCCTAAGGCTAATAGAAGAATATATGCCATCTATGACCAAATCTTCAGAATTGTATAATATTCTTCTAGATAAAATATTGAATTAGCCATTTTTTAAAATTGATTCAAATCGAGACAGTTAACACTAATTAACATATATAAATAATTAGTTAATTTTTAAAGGTGACCCTCCTATGACACAAATGCTTATATGTTATATTTTCTTTTAAGAATAATATATCTACATTTAAAAAAGGAATTCTTCTTTTTTTGTATTACTATTTTGGTTTTTTTTACAATTATATATACACTGATAATTGATGTCTGTATCAAGCCTATGTTATATATTTTTTTACTGATAGTACTGGCTGATGCTGACATTATTAAATTAATTTTAATTGGGTGGTATATTATCGTGATTCTTTCTTGTTAGGAATATCGACCGATGTAGTTAAAGAAATAAATATTTTTAATCTTTAATAAACACTATAGAATATTTGAAAAATAATCAGTATTGAATGGCATTGGTCGATATCTGAAAAGTTACAATGGTTCAACCCAAAATTTATAACTAAAAATCTTCGAAGATCACAAAATTGAAGATTTTTTTTTAAAAAAAAGTTCAAAATAATCAAACAGCAAACCAAAATAGGGTGCCTTAGTAGACTAAACAGCTGTTCAAAAAAGTTGAACCTGGGACATGGCCTGTATACTTTTTATTTAAGTTTATTGATTTATGCCTTGATTGAAAGAATAAAAAATAAAATACGGAATTAGGTATTTCCATTAATCATTTTAGGTCATCTAACCTAATCTGTCAATTAACTTTGTCTAAAACGTGGCTAATAAAATATCACCAATGCGAGGTTATAGCAGAATGGTTTGGCACCCTTTTGACCAAATACAATCAAGCACAATATAAAAAAATTATATATAAATTAATTTTGAAAATGCAAGTGGCGCGGAACCTACCCTCTTCGCATTTTGTTTTACTTCGTAGCTAATTCACGCTAACTCTGAAATGCCAGGGGTATGTTACTCCTTGGGATATTTTTTTCATTTTTGGAGATTTGCTATCTCGTCCCACCACAAGATACATGATTTTACAAATGCTTCTAGTTTTTTTTTTAAAATTTATATATTTATCACCCTTTCAATTATTTCAAATTTCTCGTTTGTCGAGAAAATTTATTTAAAAAAAATAGGTTATAAAGTAATTATCATATTTTTAAAATTATAAAGATCCGGTGTAGGATCGGTATTTTTTGGAAGCCGATTGATGCGATATTTTATTTTATCGAGTATCGTTATTGAGTAACGCGATACATTTATGCAGTCCCAGAGTAACTAATTATTTATGAAATTACTTAAATAAATATTATAGCATTTTTTAAAAAAAAACGATTCATAAAATTATAGCTTAGTCGGTATTTGGATGGCATCGAAAGCAAAATAGCCCTAAACGTGTCCCGGAAATCTGGGAATTTCATCCACGCTTTATCGTACGTTTCCCATTTGCGCGACACGCTTACCGACATACGTTATTCCATTCAAGAAACGAGGTGAAATTTTATAAATCGGTTTGGCGTTTATTTGTTTTAAAAAAAAATTATACAACTACTAGATATTTTACGATAGAAAAGTTTATTTCCTCTAGATTCGTTCTGCCTACCTTTGTTATGTCATGATACAAAAGCTCTTTGAAATCTCAGAACATGATTAGAATCTGAGAACCTGATCAGAACCGCCTAATATTTCCGGAATTCTATTATAATTATGAGACCTAAATTAAAAAGGCAGAGTTTAATTAAATAGTTCTTCAAAATAAAATAAGATAAACGAGAATAATAATCTTTCACTGGCAAGCCAGGGGTCGCCAGGTTCATTCAAACCAAAAAGGCGGGAGAATTTAAACCATAATCCAAATTTCCGGGTGATTATTTCTTTATTTTAAATGAATATATCTTATAGTGCGCACACATTGAACGTTTCAACGCAGCGTTTCAAAACGTAAATTTGAACCCCTTACCTTGGCGATTGCGATCGCGATTTAACAGCTGATTGATTTTTAAAATCTGTTTATGAGATCAATTTTTATTTATTAATATTAATTTTATCTTTAATTCAAATTTTAATAATAATCTAAGAAATAATGATTTTAATAAAGAATGTATGATCTCATAAACAGATTTTAAAAATCAATCAGCTGTTAAATCGCGATCGCAATCGCGCCACTATGAATTCAAGGTTAATTGTTTTTAATTTTTTTGATATGAATGAAACGTCTAAATTCAAAACCCAAAAAGAAAAATGGTGTCCAATTTAAAAGAAATACATTTAAAATGCATTATTTGCGTTCAATTTATGCGCGTTAGCGTTGTTAAACAGCTCAATTTAAGTCGTTTTTTTTTTCAAAATGGCTAACTCAATATTTTATCACGGAATAATATCGCACAAGCCCTAAGAGTTCGCGTCATAGATGGCATTACGGTCTAGACACTCTATTAGCGAAATCTCGAGGCTTGGACGATATTTTTTCTGGCTAAAATATTGAGCTAGCTAGTTTTTAAAATTCAGCTCAAAACGAGCCGTTTAACAACACTAACATATCCAAGCGCAACACTAATATAAAGGAAGGTCGTATAGTATCATTTTTTTTTTCCAGAAGATTTTTAATTTTTGTTACATATTCCTTAAAATCTTGATCATTAAATTCCTCCTTCCAAAGCAGATAAAGAATAACCGATTACAAATCTTTCTCGGCCCCAGAAACTTTTCATTCAAACTAAATACGCGCCACGAATCAGCGTTAGAAATGTGGTTAACGAAAATATAATATTGCGTATTTAGCGCAAATATTCTTTGAAGAAAAAAAATGGGCCCAACATTCTTCTTCTCCCTTTTATGGCCATTTCCAGGTTGGCCAGTTTTCCCTTTAATTTTTCTTTTTCATTTTTGACGGTCCTGAGCAACAATATTTGTAAGCTATTCTTGTATCTCATATACGCCGCTTTCACATTTCTCCACGTCATCAGGGGCCTTCCTCTAAGGTCTCGATCCCCCTGCTTACCATCAAGATGCATCTCTTCATTCATCTTTTGTCATGTTCCGGATGCCCAAACCATCTTAGCCTATTTTTCGTCACATTGCCACTCCAATCATTTCTATCTCCCAATTTTGCTCGCAATTCCTTGCTAGTTTTTCTCTCTCTCTCAGAGATACCCCTTACATCCATCTAATTCATCAGCTATAACTTATTATTATTTTTCTAATTTAAAGCAACGAATTCCTTGAAATAATTTCATCTAATTCTTATATCTTTTTAATAATTAAAATTATTCTTATTAATTCAACTTCCTCGTATTTGAATTTATTATTAAAGCAACGAATTCCTTGAAATAATTTCATCTAATTCTTATATCTTTTTAATAATTAAAATGATTCTTATTAATTCAACTTCCTCGTATTTGAATTTATTATCCAGCTTTTCATAATATTTAGATTTTCCCATTTATTATTTGTTTATTCAAATTTTTAAAAGATTTTTATAAAATGCGATGGTTTTAATCATGATTCATCACATTTTTTATAAGATTTTGTTCAACCGAGCCATGAAATGTTATCGTAACCCTGGGGCTTTAAAAGAGGTGACTTAATCTTATTCGTCAATAAAAAAAAACGTCTCCCCACCGCAAATCTAATTTTAGGTTACCGCGTTGTTTAAAGGTCGCCCCTATATTTACAACTGAATATCTTGCGAATCCAAAAATCTGGCAGGTTGGGCATTCATTTAGATCGGAAATTCAATTCTAAAAATTTTTTGTACCCTGTTTTGTGGACCTCGGAATAACATTTCGTCGCAATTATTCCTAGATGTCTTATAAAAAATCTTTTGACGTGATTACAATCAAGAAAGATTCTTTTATTGTGTAAAAATTTCAACTTTAGACTCTCTGTAAGATCTTCTGTTTTGAAGAGCATTCCAAAGTCTGCGTGTAAAATATAAAACCTGATTCTGGAACCATCTTAAATTATATTTAAAACCGGAAATTAAATTTAAAATTTTAATGCGGAAGGTTTTGCCAGGCTCCGAATAATAGGAATCGGATTCTTAGCTTTTTTATTTATTTATCCTTTATATTATATCGAATAATTCTAGAAAAACCATTTTAAAACTGAGACGCCCCCTTTCGGGAGATTATTTATACACTTTTCTAAACATTTTTATCGAGTTTGAGAATTAAGATGGCCGCGTCCCAGAAGGATTATTCATCTCGTAAAATGAAGATAACAATAAATGGGGCTTTAATTCAATTATAGAAATTATTTACCGATAATAGAAATTCAATTCATTACATTATTTATAATTTATTATAAATTTGCCCATATAACATATATTTAATGAATATTAATAAAATATGTTCAACCAATGAAATCTTGTGCATTTGATATATGACGCCAAAAATAATATCAAAATTTTCGCTACTCAATTTTTTCAAAACAATTTGATATTTATAAAATATTACAAATAATTAATTATATTATTATTATGAAATTATATAACAAATTGAAAAGTATTATCATCATTAAGATAACCCCAAACAATATAAATATTGGATCGGATTTTTCAAAATTAGCCTTACTTATAAAATGAGTGTTTCAAAATCAATAAAATAAATAAAAAAATTTATAAATTGATTAATCATTCAATAACCTCATGCTCACTATATTAATTCATTTTATAACTATAATTTCTTTGGTATTTTTAAAAAAAAAACTATAATAAATTCTTATTATTCTTTATAATATCAAAGGTAAAAAAAAATTATTAGTAGGATTTTTTTTTTTGCAAACGTACTCTATTTATTTTTAAATTTACATAAAACCTAATTAAAAAAATTATAATTTATAAATTTATAATTATATAATTAAAAATAAAATTCTATAATTGAGTCCCCAAAAAGGAACCATAATTGTGTCTAAAAATTTCTATTTGAATTTTTTGTCGAATAAAAAGGAATTCTCTGGGTTCATTTGTGAAAAGCCGAATTTTATTACCCAGATTTTTTAAAAACATAAATGTTGAAGGCGAAAAATGCCCGTTAGTAGAAGTCACTACTGGAGTGAATATGAAGTTTTTAAAATTTTTGTATTTGTTTGTCTTTTTAATTTCTGCCTGTGATATTAAATTGAAATTTATGTTTGAAGGGAATGATGAAACACACGTGTAGTCCCATATGAGTGATTTGCCGAGGGCCCAAGGTATGGTTGTCATACCATCAGGTCTTAAACCATCTACTTAAGATAAATTTGATGGTTCAAGATTGTTTGGAATGTGTGCAGCTGTTAAGCTTCTATTCATTATATGGTTTACAGCTGAGTGGCGTTGTTGTCGCCCTTGACTAAAAATACAATTTAAGCCATGTCTACCCTTTGAATCAACGGGTGATTTGCATTTGATGCAGGCATGAGGCTGTACTATATCGCAACCTAGACGTAAACCAATGATTACTCTCAGTTGTTTATTTGATAAGAGATTACCAAGGTTGCGACTAGGGAGTGATTCTAACCATTCTTGATCACCAAGTCTGTCTGATTATTGAAGGAGTTGAATGCAATCTAAAGGTGGATTGACTGATATATCTGTTCGGTATTTCGAGATTAAAAATGTGAAAATTTTTTTGTGTGTGATGATTGATGGTAATACGGTGTTAATGGGTGTGTTTGCCTTCCATTTGTCAATAGCGTCGTCTAATAAACGATCGGTAGGGCATATGAAGCCAGAAATCATAGAATTGTTAGATAATCTAGATGATACGAATGATGATAAGGATAAAAGATTGAGCGGAAAAAAATCTAAACCGCCTAGTTTAGAAGGTAGATGAGCAAGTGACCAATTGAATGAGTTTAAATTTATGTTTAATTTTTCCAGAAATATTTTAAATTTATCCTTAATTTTAGATATGAATTTCATTGTTCTTGAAAAAAAGGATGATGAACGGAAAATGTGCATAAATTTAGGTATGTACAGGCATTTGCGAATTAAAAATAAAGATTGATGAGCTGTTAGGAGACTTAGAATGTGCTCCATACTTTAAAAACTTTTAAAAATCTTGTTGAGAAAATCTTCCGACTTGGTCGCATTAGCTAATGGGGACCCAAGTAAGGTTAAGCTGTCAGGAGCAATGATTTTGTAGCCTTCCAACTTTTGTGGCTTATTGTTTAAGAAACATAAATCTGTTTTATTTATGTTGAGTATCAGACCGATAGCTTGGGAATTGATTTCCAGGTGTTTTAAGGCGCTTAGTACATTAGCTAAGGGGCCACAGATAGTCCCATCGTCTAAATACCATAGATTAAGATTTGGGTTGAAATTTTGTTTAATTTGGTAGATGAGGTGATGGATTCCAAAACAAAAAGAGGTCCTAATGAATCCCCTTGTTGGATGCCCTCTTGGGATAAAATCTGATAAGATCCATATGTCAAAGGCGTCTGAAAACCATATGAGGATTCAATAAATTTAGAATAACAGGGAAAAGATTCATAGAAGAATTTTAATAAT